GAACTGGAATAGGTCAGAAACAGTGCTTACACTGTGCCCACAGGGCTGCCAGGGATGCATGTCAATAGATCCCTTCTGTGTTTTGAGCTTATTTGGGAATAGAGACCTTGTGCAACTGGTCTCAACCATTGGATCTTGTTGCTGTGTAGAGGCGGTGGGGGTAGAGAGGGCTGGGGAGAGGAATGGATGTGAAGTACAAAGTGGGAAGTCCCACAGACATGTGAGAGCAAGAACCGAGCCCGTTACGGAGATAGGCTGAGAACATAACATCCAGAGCTAGTATAAGATCCCCTAGGATGATGTTAATGCCACTCCCTTTGGTGCAGGAGTTCCTGACCCCTGAACAGCGGCGATTTGCTGTCCGGGGAGTTCCTACCTTGCTGGAGGTCTCAGGATTCTCCTATTTCTATGGTGCCTTCATGGTGGGGCCTCAGTTCTCCATGACAGACTATCAGAAACTGGCAAGGGGTGAGATGACTGACGTTCCAGGCCAGAGACCCAATAGGTAATAAAAAGCCGCTTAGCTCCTCACCTTCCTAAGATCCCAGAATGCTGAATCCTCCATGTGTTCCCTGCAGCAGAGTGCCTTCTTACCTTGACACTATAGAACTGTGACCAAAAGTGATTTTTAAGACAAGGTGGTCTTTCGAAAGTTGCTCATAACTCTCTGCTCCATGTCCTAGCATTGCTCCAGGGCAGGAATGTCAATAATCATTTTGCCGTCCTGAGTATGGACTCGGTCCCAGGCTGGAAGCCTAGCATCCCGGCTTCCGAATGGTGGCATCTGCTGCAGCGGAACGTGGTGACTCCCTAATTGCTATCTCCCCTACCTCCTCTTCTCCGCTTCTGTTTTTAAAACTATGAGTTTGATGGTGTCTTTTCAACGCTTTTCTCTGACTTCCATGTTTTTCTTTCTCAGTTTTGTGCCTGCTCTCAAGCGTCTGAGTTTGGGTCTCCTGTTTCTAGTAACCTATACGTTGTCAAGCCTGTACATCGCTGATGAATACCTCATCTCAGATGATTACATGGTATGTATTCGTTTGGCGGTTCTGGGGTGTGGAATAATTCCACTTCTCTGGTGGGCACTGGATCTACAAGAGTGGATTTATTTATTTTTCTTTTTTTTAGTTTTGCTTCAGTTTCAAAATAACGTATCAGCAACTAGTGATAAGCCTTTCCACAAATGATTTGGCTTTACTGCATGTCTTGTGGATTCCATTTAATGCAGAACAGGAATGTGTGTTATGCTGAACTGAACCAAATGAAAACTTTTACAAATAGAGAATTAATTTTAGGTGCTGCTGTTGTTTTTGGAAACCTGTGTATTTTGTGACCTTTTAGTGGCCTTCCATTTAAGCATTACGTACAAAGAACTTGACTAGAGTAACTTGCAAGTCTTACCAGAATCCTTGAGGTTCTTAGAAAACTCCTAACAAGTAATTTCTGTCTGCAGATTACCAATGTTCCTGTGTAAGTATGAATAAATGAGGGTGTAAATTCCACGATGATTATGCTAATCCCAGAATCTTCCCAAAGTACTTACTTCGGTACAGCCAAATATTACCAACAGAAGGAGAATGATGTGTAAATTTGCGGAAGCCAATAGCCCGGCAGTCCACTCCATACAGCAGGCTCAACACATACATCATATTAAACCAAAAGACAGTGATGAGATCTCATCTACCTTGTCTTGTTATTGCCACTTGGATCCAGTTTTTATTTTTATCCTGTTTCACTCTTACCTCTGCAGGAGAAGCCCTTCTGGTTCCGTTGTGGTTACATATTGATCTGGGGCAAAATTATACTCTACAAATACGTGACTTGCTGGCTTGTTACGGTGAGTCTGCACGTCATTCCAGAAACGAAAGACAAATGAACAAAGGTTGCACCTTTGCAGCTGCTTGGTATGCTCTTGGACTTAGCACTAAAAGGAAGTAATCTAAATACCTGGAGATCACTGCAGGTCAGTTTAGCTTGCTGTAAATCAGCAAAGGCTAGCTGACTGAAAAGCAGGCAGTTTTTGTTTTGTCTGCAGTGGTGCTCTCCATTCAACACGGGGAGAGTCTGAGCCCCCCCAGCTCTGCCTTTCCAGGAGGAAAAAAAAAAAGGCAGTGTTTTCCTCTCATCTTTCTCATGAATCTTTTTCCATAGGAAGGTGTCTGCATCCTTGTTGGTCTGGGCTACAACGGGAAGGACCAGAATGGGAAGCCTTTGTGGGATGCCTGTGCCAACATGAAGGTCTGGCTGTATGAGACAACACCTTTTTTCACAGGGACCATTGCTTCTTTCAACATCAACACCAACGCTTGGGTGGCCCGGTGAGCAGGACAAAAATACCCCTCCTATAATGTGTTGTGTCAACAGAACCGAGACCTTGGGCTAAGAAGGGAGCGTTAGAGGAAGAATCTCTGAATCTCTGCCAGTTTGGGTTTCTCGTGCTCTTTCTTCCGTGGTTTGTTGCTGTGCCATTTGAAACGGGTCACTGGGTCAAACAGATCCTTCTTTGCAGTGTGGAAGGGCAGTTTGTTAACACAGGCAAGCAGCTGACAGCAGCAGGTGGGGAGGGGCTAGAACAGGATGGCAGGGAGTCCTTTGGCCACCCTGCTCTTACAGCTGGTTCCTGCATCACGCCTCTCCATGCTCCCTGTGCAAAAACTCAACCAGGTTTTGGCTCGGTGCTTACTGGGACACAGAACTGAATTGTAAAATATCCTTTCTCCGTGTGTTGTTGGATGAAGCGCTTCTCCCCAGCTTCTGGGATTTCTTTAAGACAAGGGCTGATGTGTATTTTTCCCTGGCAAGGGGGAGCTGTCACCTGCTCCGTTTCTGCCACCATGAAGTGTGCAAAGGCATGCGGTCCCCTGGGCCCCACATCTCTGACATGGGGAGGAACAAGACAATAAACCAGAAGGACTTTGAGTTTGTTTCTCTTCTGCTCTAGCTACATCTTCAAGCGTCTGAAGTTCCTGGGTAACAAACTGCTGTCGCAGGCACTGGCCCTGTTCTTCCTGGCCATTTGGCATGGGCTGCACTCGGGCTACCTGGTGTGCTTTCAGATGGAGTTGCTCATAGTCATCGTTGAAAGACAGGTGCGCTTTGTCCGACTTACCAGAATGGGGTGCCCTGCATAAGACTTTCCCCAAGAGTTTGGAAACTGCCACGCTGAAGGTTTTGCTTGGATTAAATATGAAAAAGAGCCGCTCGCTTCAGAATTGGTTTTCGAACAGGATGTTGGTTCTGTTCTGAAGAGCTCAGTAGGTTGCCCGCTTCTGCATGGGCGAGCCATAAATTTATTGCAGAAGCTGGCAGGAAGAAGCAGAGAGTTTGGCATATGAGCAGTTGAACTGCTTGGCAGCTGGAAGGTCTGGAGGCCAAGCATGAGCTGAGTGCCTCTGCTCAGTCTCCCAGTACTCAAACTGTTTGGGTTTTTTTAATTAAAACTTTGAGCAGGATGGGGTACTTGGCTACTTTTTTAAACCTATGGCTTATTAAAATTACTTTTACACAGCTGGATAGATAATTTTGGCCCCAGAGCCTGAATGTACAGACACCCAACTGATAAGAATTCTTTTTTCTTTTCTCTTTAAATTAGGCCATAAACCTTGTCCGGGACAGTCCTCCCCTAAGCACTTTGGCCTCCATCACTGCTTTGAAGCCCATCTTCTATGTGCTGCAGCAGACTAACCACTGGATGTTTATGGGTTACTCTCTGGTGCCATTTTGCCTCTTCACCTGGGACAAATGGATGAAGGTATTTAGCAACCACAGAGACAAGCCACACGACCTCCCTTTTTCCCTCCATCCTGTCTTCTTATGGTCTTGCCCAAAAGCCGCCGCTTGCTCATCCTTCACCCTGCCTTTCTCTTCACAGGTGTACAGGTCTATTTATTTCTTCGGCCACGTGTTGTTCTTCACCTTATTGCTGGTGTTGCCTTACATCCGCAGATTAATTGTGCCACGAAAAGAAAAGCTAAAAAAAGCAGAATAACAGCCAAAAGGTAAGGCTGTACTAGGTGGGGAGCAGCCTGTGTCTGGACTAGGGGCTGAAGTGGGGCAGCAACATTATATCTTGAGGTGAAAGGCAAACATTAAATGAACCAAAACAAAATCCAACATATTCTTTTATCTTCTTTTTTTTTTTTTTTCCAGATTGTACCACCTGTGCATTCGTAGGAGTTAACACTCCGGAAGCAAAGCATCACCTGCCAAGTTTGCTGTGTTGAAGTACGACTTTTCAACGCGAGGAGGGCAAAAGAGAAAGCCCAGGGTGAGAGACCCCAACGGAGGGGAAAGGGGAGCGATGCTCTTCCCAGACCCTCCACCTTCTGTATGTTGCCTTATCTCTCTGCCGCCCTCCAGTGGACACTCGTGTCTCCCTGCTGATACCAGATGATTGTAAAAACATCCGAAGCAGGGCACTGTATCCGATCGGAGCCACCTTCTGACTTTTCTACGTTTGTCATCCAAGATAAAAATTGCTCCTGGTCTTTTTCATATCAGCTTCGGCTCCTTTCCTCTCGGGCGCCTCAATGGGGGAAGCGCAGGCTGCACCCGAGCGAGGTAGTTCTACAGGACCGAGCAACGCGAGCTGCAGGGGCGAGCAGGGCACAGTCAAGAATTTCAGTTCCATGACACGTTTGGGCCGAGTCCCTGCTACAAAGGGATCGAGCCTGCCCACGTATGAAACATGAAAGAGTAAAACACACAAGCACTCTTATGAAAAGCGACCTTTAATAGGAGGAAAAAGGGCGAGTGGGGCAGTCCATTTTATCCTGCTCTGGCAGGGGGGTTGGACTAGATGATCTTTCCAGGTCCCTTCCAACCTCTGACATTCTGTGATTCTATGATTTAAAAAGTCTAATTGCTCCAGAAGCTGCAAGGACAAGACTGAAGCCTTTTCCCTTCCAGGAGCCCAAAGTGGCACCAGGGTCACACTCCAGTAAAAGAGCTTTTCCAGAATGTAGAGTCACTGTACAGAAGTCCACCATGACAGCACAAGCTCATACCACTCCCCAGACCTCTTCAAAGGCAGTGGTAATTTTGGCACATGTCAGGGCAGCAGAGAGGGGATAGTTGCTGATGGAGACCATCTTTTCTGTATAGTCAACACTGACCTGGGGGAAAAGAAAGGGGGGGGAGGGAAATAATAATAATAATATCAAGCTGCAAGTTTTCATTTTGTCCCATCTATCTCCACTGGTTGGAGAGACACACTTTCTCCCATCAGATAACCGCTAACCCTCACTAGTGCGCTCTCTTGGGAGGAAAAAAGTCCCAAGTGTATTAGGCCTTTATTTTAAAATTTTTTTTTTTAAACAAGCCTACCTTGGTGGGGGGGGGGGGCAAGGAATAGGGTTGACCAAGCCAAAAAAAGAGCAGTAGGAAAAAGAAAAGAAACATACTCAGAACAAGACTGAAATCTATTTTGATAAAGATTTTTACAACTCCCAGATAAGGGGTACTTGCACTTACCGAACCATGGGCAAAAGCTCCCACAACGATGGCAACTGGCTCCGCTGTAGGAACCAGTTCACGCAGATCTGACACTTTTGGAACTGCAAAAGAGGTACCTATCTTCATACAGCCCACAGGGAGATGATCGCTGACTGGATTTTTAATCACCTACAGAAAGTTAATAGGAGTGTAGAGATTAAGAGACCCCGCCACATAGCTAAGTCCCTAGTTGGTATAAAAAATAAAAAGTCACTCCTACATCACTAGCTGCAATGAGGAATTTTGCAAAGTTACCTGTGAGCAGTCACAGAATGTTTACCTTCAACAATTTCTGAGGCCCATCAGCTGCTCGAACGCTGAGCTTATGCAGCAACTGAACTGACAAGAGAAGAAAATGACCTGAGCCGTCTGTTCTTTCACTGCAACAATCCTATCCTCCACCTAGTGATCAGAGCTAAAGCAGACAAAAAGCCCATCTTTAGAGTTCTAAAGCAGTCCTAAGAAATATTGATGAGCGAGTCACTTTGCTGCTAGCCCAGTCCCATGCAGGCACTCCCCACTGTGCTAAGGAACATACAGTTTGACTGTGCATCGTGGAACTCGGAAAAAGACACACTTAATTTCTCTGCTCCTTTTTCACTTTCACATTTTTTATGTTGGTGCAAGGTGCAAGCTTTTGACTCTACCTATAGTTCTTCTCCTTCGAAGCATTTTGTGGCTGGTATAAAGTTTGTATCACTTACCCATAAGACCACAGAATCGATCAAAAGTTCTTGGGATTCTAGTTTGGGGATTGACTTCAATTAGAACATTCTTCTGCGTATGGATGTAAACCTGCAGGAGACCAGCACGATTCAGTGGGCTGTCCATGAGCATCAGGAGACTCTGAAATGAAAAAAACCACAGAATTGTTGAGGGTGGAAAAGACCTCTGAGATCATCAAGTCCAGCCTGTGACCCAACACCACCACATCAGCCAGACCAGG